CGGTTTTTCAAACTATCAGTAAATGGGCTGCTCTAGACACGGCTGCTTTGCTTCTCTCGGCCACCAATTTCCGATCTAGGCATCCCCTTCTCTCTCCATCTCTCCTTTAAATGCAGGCTGTTGACATATTTGCCTTTCTACTCCTGCAAAAGTGCTTTTAGTGCTGCCTTGAAATTATTATTATTATTATTATTACTTCTTTTTGAGACGGAGTTTCGCTCTTGTTGCCTAGGCTGGAGTGCAGTGGCGCGATCTTGGCTCACTGCAACCTCCACCTCCCCGGTTCAAGCAATTCTCCTTCCTCAACCTCCCAAGTAGCTGGGATTACAGGGGCATATCACCATGCTCAGCTTATTTTTGTATTTTTAGCAGAGATAGGGTTTCACCACGTTGGCCAGGCTGGTCTCAAACTCCTGACCTTGAGTGATCCACCTACCGGGCCTCCAAAGTGCTGGGATTACAGGCATGAGCCACTGCGCCTGTCAGATTTTGAAATTAGATCTGAAAAGTGCCTGCCCTCAAAGTACATAATGCCACAGAAATCATAAACTCTGTAATCCAACCCAAGGGGAGTAACACCAATGATGTTCTATTCCATACTGCATAAAACACTCTGTTGTGGGGCCACAGCTAATGCTGTGTCTGGAGAAGCCTGCGCTCAGTTCTCTAGATCCGGCCCGCCGATGCCACAGCCACGCTGCCAGTCCTCACGGCTGCACAGCAACAGCCCACCTCCATGTTTATCGGAATGTTTCCCTCTGAGCTTTATTTAATATCTATCATCAAGTAGAAAATTCATTTTGGAACAATTTTCAGAGCCAGTACAAAGATATCCTTAAGGACATGTTAGCTACATTACTTCATTCCAATGAAATAAATAAATTTCTCAGCCTACAATAAACTCAGCATAAAGCGGGGTAGGCAGTCTCTGCAATGGGCCTGCTTAGCAGTTCCCTGGTGGGCCAGCAGCTAGGATTCAGATGGGCCTACTTCTGTGGAAAATAGTGTGGAAATAAACAAAGGGTCAGGAAACAAACACACATAGTATGGAAATAAACAAACACGGAATTTAACGCAATCTACTTCAGATCCCATCTACAAAGACTTAGTCATGAACATCATCAAAAGATTTTTTCTTCTATACTGTGTCAGAAAAACCTTACCATTCAGCAAGCCCAGGTCACAGCTGAGCTCCAGCCATGGAGAGTCAGCTGGGCATCTCCCCCGGGACATCCCCACAGTCCCCAGATTCAGCATGTCCAGACCAGGACTCTTCACCTGCCCTCCTGCTCTGGTGTTTCTGATGTCACTGAATGGCGTCATCATCCACGCAGTTTTCCAAGTCAGAAACTCAGCAGCCCCCCTGGAATCCATTCTCTCTCTCCCTACTCTCCCCATTCCTTCCAAATCCCTAAGTGCTAGAGATTCCACCGTGTTCAGCCCTCATGCCTGTCTCTTCCATCCCAACGCCACAGCTCCTGTATTACTTGTTGCTTCATTTCTCCACCAGGTTCTTCCAACAGACTAACTATTCTCCCTACATACAGAGTCCTAACTCCTCCAAGCCATTCTTCTCAGGTCTGCCACAATAATCTTCCAAAGTTAATCTTGATCACGTTGATCCTTTCATTAAAACCCTCTGATGGCTCCCCAGTGTCTAGAGGATGAAGTTCAAAGTGTGCACACAAGGCCCTCCACAATCCCACCTCTCTGACCTTAGCGTCTCCAGGCGTCACCCTAAACCCTTGCCCTGGAGAGCTCCCAAGCACACCAGCCTTTCTGTCTCCCGTCTCCCGCCCTCTGTTTGGGCAGCTGCTTCTGGATGGAATGTCAACATCCCTTTGCGTTTCTGACCCTGCAAACCATGCTCCTCGTCAGGACCCTCCAATTCCGTGAAGCCTCTCCCCCCACCCCACCCTGAAGGAAGAATAGGGTACCCCCGCTCCTCAAGGCCCTGGCCATGCTCCTATCACAGCATCTCCAATGTCACTGCACGCACTTAGTGACAAAACTATGCACTTCCAGAGGGCCAGAAGCGCACTTCATCTTTTAAACTCAGTGCCCAGCAGTGCTGCCTACTGCACAGTGAGAATTTAATAAATATTTGTGAAATGAATGAATGTCTCCATGACAACATTCTGAGTGGTTTCAAACTATTTTCTTTCCAGCTCATTGGCTTTGCTTTCAGCTGCTCATGATGCGGAACTGCCTCCTATTCCACATGTAAATCATTCTCAGAGCACCAAAAAAAACAAAAAAAAAAAAAGTCAGTGCAGGAGATATTCGAGATCACCTTCTTACCCCTGGAGAAATCACTTCTTTGTTCTCGACTCCTGGAAGAGGGGTCACACTTCCAGGCACTCCAGTGGCAGAAACTGAGAAACTATCAAAACAAGTTATTCCAGCTCTCTGGCCCTCCTTGGTTTTTAAATGCCCTCTCCCTGGAACTGATTATTTCAGGGAGGCACAGGATGAAGACAATTAAAGCAGACAATCCGTGCCATCAACACGGCTGGCTCACAAAGCCTACATCCATGGCCTCTGCTCGCGAGAACGAAAAATAACGCTAAAAAATGAAACTGACTTCCTCCGCTTTTGTACTTCTAAGCCCCTAACGGAGTCACACAAAAATACAGTCACCACCCTCGATCCATCAGCAGGCAGCCCCTGTGCCCAGCATCAAACCTTTGGGAAGCTCTGGGCCCACCCAGAATTCCATCTACAATGTTAAATAACTATAATGTGTCTGCAACTTAATGTCACCAGCAAGTAACTTCTTCTCCAAGCACCGATTTCATATTGGAAAATGAGCAATTTAAATAAATGTCTCATTACCATCATGTTTTCCTGCTAGATGCTAATGTACTTAATTTGTTTTACCAGATTCTCTTCCATACAATCATTTCCTGCAGTCCTGCTCAGGACAATCTGAAACTCACGGGCTTCCTAACAGACAACCCAGAGAACCTAGAAACAACCAAACTACCAAACAAATAAGCAAAACCCTTTCGCTACAAAGTTATGGAGACCTATTTGTTCTCAATCATTTATCATGTATGCTGTAGCTTCTTCCGGGAGTTACGCAAAGGTCAGAAGGGCACAGACTGTCCTGGCCCTCTCAGCGGTGCTGGGTTTGTATGAATGATGGCTGATCATCGTTCAGTGGGCACTCCTAGTCCCACTAAGAGAGGAGTGGGCGAGATGGTTTATTCAGAAAGAATGTGAGGAGCGTGACATTTTGTGTTGAGGCCTCAGCAGGCTTATTCTCATTCTGCTTTGCTTATCTATACAGAGATTCTTGCTATGTGCTGATTCCAAACCCCAACAATTTCAAGGACATTTTGAATATCTTTTATTAATAGCAACTCTTAAAAATTTCCATAGCAGACTGCTCAGACACGCTCCAAACAGGCAAAATCAGGTGCCATATAAGGGCCTGTTCCCCCAAACCTTGTGAGATTATGGGGCAATGGCTTCATCATGACAGTGTATGGAACAGTGTGGACACCACACTCACTAAACAGCATCGTGGGGTGGATCCAGCCACGTCGGAATGGTTCTGAGACCCAGGCACCATAGCTCATGCCTGAAATTCCAGCAATTTGAGAGGCTACAGTGGGAGGACTGCTTGAGGCCAGGAGTTCAAGTCCAGCCTGGGCAACACAGACAGCCTCGCATCTCTAAAAATACTTTTTAAGCTAGCTAGGCATGATAGTGTGTGCTTATAGTCCCAGCTACTCAGGAGGCAGAGGTGGGAAGATCACTTGGGCCCAGGAGTTGAGGCTGCAGTGAGCCAAGATTGTACCACTGCACTCTAGACTGGCCAACAGAGCAAGACCCTGACTGGAGGAAAAAAAGAAAAAATAAATGGTTCTGTGTGCACCATTATACAAGAGGAGACTTTTCTTATATTTATGCTCCCCGTGTGTAATAGAAATAAATGCAAATGTTGGCCGGGCACAGTGGCTCAAACCTATAATCCCAGCACTTTGGCAGGCCAAGGCGGGTGGATCACCTGAGGTCAAGAGTTCAAGAGCAGCCTGGCCAACATGGTGAAATCTCGTCTCTACAAAAATACAAAAATTAGCCAAGCATGATGGTGGGTGCCTGTAATCCCAGCTACTCGGGAGGCTGAGGCAGGAAAACCACTTGAATCTGGGAGGTGGAGGTTGCAGTGAGCCAAGATCATGCCATTGCACTCCAGCCTGAGTGACAGAGCGAGACTCCATCTCAAAAAAAAAAAGGGAAATAAATGAAATAAATGAAAATATTTTTTTATTTCTATTACACATGGCGAGCAAAAATAAAACTCAACAAAAAAATGAAGCACTGAAACAGTGAACTCTATGCAGCCTGCTGGGTGCCAGGTACCACGTGTGCAGCAGAGAATGGGAAAAACCATCAGAACATGTGGAAATAACACTGGCCAGGTTGGTATTCCAGGCTCTGCCACATACGAGCTACAAGGCTTTGAATCCACGACTTTATTTTGTGAGCCTCATCACCTGATTATAAATAAAACAGCAACAGCAGCAGCACTTGTAACGGTGGCGACAGCAGAGACCTTTACTGAGCACTTACTATGTGGCAATTGCTGCAGTGAGCACTTCACAAAAACTTAGTAAGCAGCATCTCACCAAATCCTTAGAACACCCTGCCAGGGAGACACCGGGAACTCCACTTTACAGAGGAGACTCAGGGCTCCGTAACCAGCCTAAGGTCACTCGGCTACCGTGAGTGGCAGGGTCTCAGTTCACAAGCAAGTCTGCCTTCACAAGTTGTGCTCTTTGGAGCTAGAACTACTTCCAACCACAGCCGTGCATGTTATAAGACACGAGAGATCTACAGAAAAAGTGCTTTGAAATGTGGTTATCATTTGCAGAGCCCACGTCCTCTGGGGGCCCCTCTGTTCATGGGGAAACCTGCCTCCGGGGCAGGCCTCCCACAGGACACACGGGCCAGGAGGTGGGGAGTAGAGGATGGCCACCCCCAGCACTTACTTTCTCAAGACGGCTATCTCATTCTCTATGCTGCTTTCCTTGCCCTTCAGCGCCTTCTTAGGGATACACTTCACGGCAAAGAGCTTGCCAGTTGCCTTCTCTTCGGCTAAAACCACTTCGGAAAAGGCCCCGCTGTGAACAAAGAAGGGAAAAAGAACGCTTAGACGCAGGAGTCTGGTTTCACAATAGCTCCTCACCCCACCACCAAAGTCTGAGTAAACAATAATGACTGCACAACTGCAAGCACTACCGTTACTTTTATCCAGCACGGCTCCTGCCACACCACGCAGCTTGTATCCTTTTTCTTGAGACGGACTCTCTCTGTGTCGACAGGCTGGAGGGCAGTAGCGCGATCTCGGCTCACTGCAACCTCCACCTCCCAGGTTCAAGTGATTCTCCTGCCTCAGCTTCCTGAGGAGCTGGGATTACAGGTGCCCATCACCACACCTGGCTAATTTTTGTATTTTCAGTAGAGACAGGGTTTCACCATGTTGCCCAGGCTAGTCTCAAACTCCTGACCTCAAGTGATCCACCTGCTCGGCCCCCCAAAGTGCTGGGATTATAGGTGTAAGCCACTACGTCTGGCCACTTTATTTCTATTATTATTACACAGTAATGTATAATGAAATAATTCTACAACTTGCCACCATGTAGAATCAGTGGAGCCCTGAGCTTGTTTTCCTGCTACTAGTCGGTCCCATCTGGGGTGATGGGAGACAGTGACAGATCATCAGGCATTAGATTCTCATAAGGATCGTGCAGCCTAGATCCCTGGCGTGCCCAGTTCACAGTAGGGCTCATGTTCCTATGAGGATGTAATACCATCACTGATCTGACAGGAGGCGGGGCTTAGGTGGTAACTAGAGCAGGAGGCGGAGCTTAGGTGGTAACTAGAGCAGGAGGCGGAGCTTAGGCGGTACCTGGGCAGAGTGGCTGTAAGCACAGATGAAGCTTTGCTTGCTTACCTGCTGCTCACCTGCTGCCTTGCGGCAAAGTTCCTTTCAGGCCACATACCCTACAGACATCAGTCGACGGCCCAGGGGTTGGGGACCCCTACTTTAGTCACTGTCAAAGAGATTCCTGAACCGGGAGAAACCCCTCCTCCGCCTCACACCTGAATCACTTGTTACCCGCCTGAGAGCAGGGCACACTGTCACAATCCAAGGGTAGGTAAATGCATGTATTAAACATCCTTTCCAGTGAGCGGAATTCACTTTCACTCAGTGCAATTAACTTCAGGACGGTGTTCCCCCCGGCACCTGGATGCCCAAGGGAGAAGTCTGCCTAGCTTCAAGGTCTGTTTTTAATTATACAAACCCAAGGAGCAGAACATAGTCATTCCCCAAAATATCCCAGACGAAAAATGTCAGAAGCAGGATCTTCTGCCCAAATCCACCAATTAATTATTCACCTGTAGGATTCTCCCCTCAAGATACTACGTTCCACAAGCCAAACCTTCTAGAACCTTCCAGAACAATCATTAAAAATAAACACATAAAGATCCACCACAGGTTAATCATGGAGGGATATACGTAGTCAGGCATTCCAGTGACACTGGCCATGGCCAGTGGCTTTTGTCCAGGAAACCCAAATGGCAATGGCCCCAGACACGGCCTCTGAGCCACGCACCATCCCTCCCCACCCACCTCTAAGCCAGGGGGAGATGGGTGGCCACACCTCACAGAGGTCTTAGGTGGGCCAAGACACTGAACAAGGAGGTATGTGTTCCCGCTCACTACCCTCTGGGAGGCGGAACAAGAACTACATTAGAGTATGAGAAAAATCCCTGGAGAAAGACCAAGGTTCAAGCACCATACTGGTTTTATATCAGATACTCCATTCATTCATTTGTTCGTTCATTCGTTTGGTTTCCCTGTTGGCTACTTGACTCCTTAATGCTGATATACCCCAACAGTCCTGAGTTTGTTGGATTTACTAAGTCCATTTTCCAGAAGGCGGAAAAGCCCTTTGGCAGCAGTGATCGCGGCCACAGGCTTGGGCTAGGAACCACAATCAGGCCCCTCTCCTCCTGGGCTGCCCCTTGCTCCACCCTCCATCCATAGCTACTCCTTCCTTTACACAATCCCTGCAATCAGAAACAGCCATGGCCCGAGACACCCTGCTCAATAGGACCCTTGGGAGCCTGTAAGAGAAAAGCGCTTCCTTGCCTGGAGGAAACAGTGAGAAGTGAGGGTGCCACAGGACTCAGCCCCTGAAGGACAAGAGACTGGGGAGGGGACCGAGGGGTCTCCTCAGAGCCAGCGCTGCCACGGCAGGAAGCTGACAACATGGCGAGGCAGTGGTGCCTGTGGAGGGAGAGTCTTTCTGCCATTTTCCCTGGTTGGGTGGTGATGAACTATGTGGCCCCCTTTGGGGAAGGCAGGACAGTGGCACAGAGGTACATCAAGAGAGTCATGTGCTAAACAGCCCAGGCTTGACACCACATGACCATCTCCACCAGAAGATCCTGAGTAGAATCATGGAACAAAGTTTCCAGTCCCATTCTTTCCGAATCCAGTTCAGCCCGCAACTCCATGCCTAGGTCTAGACCCAGAAGGGAAAGTGGGAGCGTGAACAGGTGCATGGACAGCCACGTTCACAGCAGCATTGTCCACAACAGCCACAAGGTGGCAACAATCCTTGCATCCTCTGGTGGACAAATGGATAGATAAAATGTGGTCTACACATCTAACAGAACAGCCACAAAAAGCAATGGAATTCTGACCCATGCCAGAACATGGATGAACTCTGAGGACATTATGCTAAAGGAAATAAACCAAATACAAAGAGACAAATACCACCAGGCACGGTGCTTACGCCTGTAATCCCAGCACTTTGGGAGGCTGAGGCAGGTAGATCACAAGGTCACGAGTTCAAGACCAGCCTGGCCAATATAGTGAAACCCCATCTCTACTAAAAATACAAAAGTTAGCCGGGCATAATCATGGGCACCTGTAGTCCCAGCTACTCAAGAAGCTGAGGCAGGAGAATCGCTTGAACCTGGGAGGTGGAGTTTGCAGTGAGCCAAGATTGAGCCACTGCATTCCACCCTAGGCAACAGAGCGAGACTCCGTCACACACACACACACACACACACACACACACACACACACACAAAATAACAACACCACATGATTCTACCTATAGGAGGTGTCCAAAGTCGTCAAATTCATAGAGGCAGAAAGTAGAACTGTGGTTGCAGGGACTAGGGGGAAAAGGTGATGGGAAGTCCTGTTTAATGGGGAATTTCAGTTTGGGAAGATGAAAATGATCTGGAGGCCGGGTATGGTGGCTCACACCTGTAATCCCAACACTTTGGGAGGCCAAGGAAGGCAGATCACTTGAGGTCAGGAGTTCGAGACCCACCTGGCCAATATGGTGAAAGCGTGTCTTTACTAAAAATATGAAAATTAGCAGCATGTGATGGCACATGTCTGTAGTCCCAGCAACTCTAGAGGCTGAGGTGGGAGGACTGCTTGAGGCCAGGAGGCAGAAGTTGCAATGAGCCAAGATCGTGCCTATGCACCCCAGCCTGGGTGACAGAGCAAGATTCCATCTCAAAAAAAAAAGGTGCTGGAGAGGGATGGGGGTGATGGTTGCACAACAATGTGACTGTACTTGATGCCACCAAACTGTACACTTTAAAAGGGTTAAAATAGGCCAGGTGCACTGGCTCATGCCTATAATCCCAGCACTTTGGGAGGCTGAGGTGGGAGGGTCACTTGATTCCAGGAGTTTGAGACCAGCCTGGGCAACAAAGTGAAACCCTGTCTCTATAAAAAATTTAAAAATTAGACAAGCATGGTGGTGTACACCTGTCGTCCCAGCTACTTGGGAGGCTAAGGTAGGAGGATCACTTGGGCCCAGGAGGTCAAGCCTGCAGGGATCCACGTTCACAGCATTGTACTCCAGCCTGGGCCACAGAGCAAGACCTTGTCTCAGAAAGAAAAGAAAGAAAGAAAAAAGCTTAAAATGGTAAAATATATATTTTACTACAATAAAAAGATAAACATAAAAGTTTGCTTACTTCTAATCAATGACATTGCCTGAGGATGGACACACTGGAAGAACTAGATAAAGCTTTTCACTCAATTCCTCCCTAAAGGAAAAAGAAATTATATCACCTCCAGGGTGCCAGCTGGTGTGAGCGACTTGATATTTACAGAGGACTCTGGCATATGTCAGTGAATCCAGTCCTTACAGCAACCCCACGAAGCAGACACGGAGTTACTGTCATCTCCATTCTACAGATGAGGACACTGAGTCCTGTCACACAAGTGGTAAGGGGCAGAAAATAAAACTCAGTTTCCTATCGCCTCTGAGGTCCTTTCTCAATGCGTTATGCTGGGCTGATACCTGTGGCTACCAGGGCGTGTGCCTGGCAAGCGCCACGGGCGACAGGGATGGAGGGGTGAGGAGACCGTGGGGTCGGATGAGCGGCCAACACTCTGAGCCCGCATATCCGCCTGCTTCATCATTTAGCCAAACAATGTGTATTGACCCGCTTGAAGCTTTCCAAAGACAAAGTTCTCTGGTCTTCTTAAGGGATGTAAGATTACCATAAATTGTTACTGTTCCCACAATAAATGGAAATCACGTGAAGACACTTCCCCTGTTCCAGGAAAGCTAATTAGAAACATCAAACACAAAGCTCATGAATGAACAGCCTGAGCACTTTCGATGTAATTACGTAACACACAGGTGTGTGGGGGCGGGGGGAGGGATGGAGGGAGGAAGGGGGGGTGTCCGGGTGACAAGGAAAATGATCTGAAAACTATAAAGACTTCCCACAACCCAAGAACATAAATTCCAAGGAACAAAAGCAGGGACAGAGTGACAAAGTGTTGTTTGTTCATTTGCTTGTTTGTTTGTTTTGGGGGCGGAGTCTCGCTCTGTCGCCAGGCTGGAGTGCAGTGCTGTGATCTCAGCTCACTGTAACCTGGTTCACGCAATTCTCCTGCCTCAGCCTCCTGAGTAGCTGGAATTATAGGCATGGCCATTACACCCAGCTAATTTTTATATTTTCAGTAGAGACGGGGTTTCACCACATTGGCCAGGCCCTGAATTCGTGATCCGCCCACCTCAGCCTCCCAAAGTCCTGAGATTACAGGCATGAGCCATCATGCCCGGTC